GAAGTTAAAAATTTGAAACCAAGTGAAAAATAAGGAAAACATGTCTCTAAATTTTGAACTATGCTCAGCATCTTAGGTGGTCATTATGGATGATAGGAACCAGTGATCTACAAAGTATCATTGTGCAGAATGGTCCACAAGAATATCAGAGGAATGCATTAAAACTACCTTTATATGTATAATTTTATGTATACTATAAATATATAAGTTTTGAGTGCTTAGCAAGAAATATTTTTACTAATGGGGCATACAGTCAAACCAAGGGTTTCAACTCACTTTTAATGGAAAAGAGTACTAGTAGAAGTTATAATGAAACTTCCAAGGCCGGCGCCGCAGCTCACTAGGCTAATCCTCTGCCTTGCGGCGCCAGCACACCGGGTTCTAGTCCCAGTCGGGGCGCCGGATTCTGTCCCGGTTGCCCCTCTTCCAGGCCAGCTCTCTGCTGTGGCCAGGGAGTGCAGTGGAGGATGGCCCAAGTGCTTGGGCCCTGCACCCCATGGGAGATCAGGAGAAGTACCTGCCTCCTGCCATCAGATCAGCATGGTGCGCCGGCCGCGGCGGCCATTGGAGGGTGAACCAACGGCAAAGGAAGACCTTTCTCTCTGTCTCTCTCTCTCACTGTCCACTCTGCCTGTCAAAAAAAAAAAAAAAAAAAAAAAAAAAAAAAAAGAAAGAAAGAAATTTGCTAACTAGATAGATAATTAATGCCTAGATATTTTATTTAATATTCTATCATAATCAAGGTCATGTGGTAAAACACTGAAGTTAGCCTTCTTATTGTATTTAAGCCATAATTTTATAGGAGTTGGCACATTTTAGAACACTATTTTATATACTTATACATACATATATATATGGAAGTCTCTAAAGCATTTACTTCACAGTATATCATAGTTACACAAAAGGTTTAAATAGAGAGAGCTAAGTTTCTTTCATTACTACTATTTCTACATTTAGTAGTAAGGGATTTTCTGTGTACTCTTTTCCTTCCTTTGTTTAGGTGGATATACTCGGCTACAAGGTGGTCGTTGGAGTGATAGCAGAGCCCTCAGCTGTGTAGAACGTTTTGACACTTTTAGCCAGTACTGGACCACTGTGTCTTCACTTCATCAGGCTCGATGTGGGCTGGGAGTAGCAGTTCTGGGAGGGATGGTCTACGCGATTGGAGGTAATAATAAAAGTCTTATTTCCGGCCGGCGCTGTGGCTCACTAGGCTAATCCTCCGCCTAGCGGCGCCGGCACACCAGGTTCTAGTCCCGGTCGGGGCGCCAGATTCTGTCCCGGTTGCCCCTCTTCCAGCCCAGCTCTCTGCTATGGCCCAGGAGTGCAGTGGAGGATGGCCCAAGTGCTTGGGCCCTGCACCCCATGGGAGACCAGGAAAAGCACCTGGCTCCTGGCTCCTGCCATCGGATCAGCGCGGTGCGCCGGCCGCAGCGCGCTGGCCGCGGCGGCCATTGGAGGGTGAACCAACGGCAAAGGAAGACCTTTCTCTCTGTCTCTCTCTCTCACTGTCCACTCTGCCTGTCAAAAAAAAAAAAAAAAGTCTTATTTCCTTTATTAGGCTAGTTGGCTACATTATTATATGCCTTTTATATATATGTGTGTATATATGTATATAGGGATATATACATATATATAGGGATATATACATATATACACACATATACACATACATATACATATATATGCATATATATATTGCTAAGTATTATGTGGTGTACATTGATTTGGGATGCTCAATAAATATTTATCAAATAAATGAATGAAACAAATAGGAAACATAAGATGTTGAATAATTGGCCGGCGCCATGGCTCACTAGGCTAATCCTCCGCCTAGCGGCGCCTGCACACCGGGTTCTAGTCCCGGTCGGGGCGCCGGATTCTGTCCCGGTTGCCCCTCTTCCAGGCCAGCCCTCTGCTGTGGCCAGGGAGTGCAGTGGAGGATGGCCCAGGTGCTTGGGCCCTGCACCCCATGGGAGACCAGGAGAAGCACCTGGCTCCTGGCTTCGGATCGGTGCGGTATGCCGGCCGCAGTGCGCCAGTGACGGCGGCCATTGGAGGGTGAACCAACGGCAAAGGAAGACCTTTCTCTCTCTGTCTCTCTCTCTCACTGTCCACTCTGCCTGTCAAAAAATTAAAAAAAAAAAGATGTTGAATAATTCACACCAGAGAGAAACATTCACAAGACAGAATACTTAGGTTTGGTTTTAATAAATGCTTGTTCAGGGCTGGTATTGTGGCACAGTGGGTTAAGCCACTGGCAGCATCCCATTTTGGAATTCCAGTTCCAGTCCCAGGTACTCCACTTCCAATTCTGCTCCCTGCTAATTCATCTGGAAGGCAGTAGAAGATGGCCCAATTACTTGGGCCCCTGCCACTCATGTGGGAAACCAGAATGGAGTTCTGGTCTTCTGGCTTGGGCCTGGCCCAGCCCAGCCATTGCAGCCATTTGGGGAATGAACAAGTGGATGGAAGATCTCTTTATCACTGTCTCTTTCTCTCTCTGTCACTATGCTTTTCAAATAAAAATAAATAAATAAATCTTTTCTTAAAAAGTTATTTTTATTTTAAAAAATTAATTATAAAAATGACACCAAAATTTAGATAAATATTTGTGATGAAAAATTTTTAAGGTTTTTTTTTTTTTTTTTTTGACAGGCAGAGTGGACAGTGAGAGAGAGACAGAGAGAAAGGTCTTCCTTTACTGTTGGTTCACCCTCCAATGGCCGCTGTGGCTGGCGTGCTGCGGCGGGCACACAGCGCTGATCCGATGGCAGGAGCCAGGTGCTTTCCTGGTCTCCCATGGGGTGCAGGGCCCAAGCACTTGGGCCATCCTCCACTGCACCCCCGGGCCACAGCAGAGAGCTGGGCTGGAAGAGGGGCAACCGGGACAGAATCCGGTGCCCCGACCGGCACTAGAACCCGGTGTGCTGGCGCCACAAGGCGGAGGATTAGCCTAGTGAGCCACGGCGCCGGCCTTCCTCTAACTCTTAAATAAATTTAAAAAGTACATTTTTAAAGATTTTTAAAAATTTATTCCAAAGGCAGAGTGACAGAGGAGGGAGGGAGAGAGAGAGAGAGAGATTTTCCATTTGCTGGTTCACTCCCCAAGTGCCCACAACAGCTGGAGCTAAACCAGACTGAAGCCAGGAGCCCTGAACTTCATCTTGGTCTCCCATGTGAGTAGCAGAGACTCAAGTACTTGGGCCATCATTCCCTGCTTTCCCAGGCTCATTACTGGGAAACTGGATCAGAAGCAGAAGAGCCACGACTCAAACTGACACTCCAATATTGAATGCTGGCATCACAAGCTGTGACTTAACCCCTGTGCCACAATACTAGCCCCAGTAAAAAAATATATTTTAGGCCGACGCCGCGGCTCAGTAGGCTAATCCTCCACCTTGCAGCGCCGGCATACCGGGTTCTAGTCCCGGTCGGGGCACCGGATTCTGTCCCGGTAGCCCCTCTTCCAGGCCAGCTCTCTGCTGTGGCCTGGGAGTGCAGTGGAGGATGGCCCAAGTCCTTGGGCCCTGCACCCCATGGGAGACCAGGAAAAGCACCTGGCTCCTGCCTTTGGATAGGTGCGGTGCGCCAGCCGCAGTGCGCCAGCTGCGGTGGCCATTGGAGGGTGAACCAACGGCAAAGGAAGACCTTTCTCTCTGTCTCTCTCTCTCACTGTCCACTCTGCCTGTCAAAAAAAAAAATATATACATATATGTATATATATTTTAAAAACTGGAGGCTGGCGCCACAGCTCAATAGGCTAATCCTCTGCCTTGCTGCACCGGCGCACCGGGTTCTGTCCTGGTTGCCCCTCTTCTAGGTCAGCCCTCTGCTATGGTCTGGGAGTGCAGTGAAGCATGGCCCAAGTGCTTGTCCACTCTGCCTGTCAAACAAACAAACAAACAAACAAAAACAAAACAAACAAACAAAAAACCTGGAGCTCTGGGGCCTGTGCTGTGGCATAGAAGATTAAGCCTCTGCCTGCAGTCCAACATCCCATATGGGCACTAGTTTGGGTCCCGGCTGCTCTACTTCCAATTCAGTTCCCTACTGATATGCCTGGGAAGGCAGTGGAGGATGGTCCAAGTGCATGGACCACTGCATTAATGCAGATTACCTGGAGGAAGCTCCTGACTCTTGGCTTTGGCCTGGCCCAGCCCTGGCTGTTGCGGCCATTTGTGGAGTAAGCCAACAGATGGAAGATATTCTCCCTCTCCCTCTCCCTCTCCTCTTTCTCTATCTTTGCCTTTCAAAAAATAAATAAAAATAAAACTGGAACTCTAACCATGATCTTACTGTGAGCTTTTTAAAATATAGGTAAGAAGCAATACATTTTGTCTATTTCTATCATGGCAGAATTCAGAGAATCAGGACATGGTATCTTCCCAGGACTCCCAAAGCATTTGACAATGATAATTTAGTGCTTCACTGTGTTTGCTGATTGATTCTTGTCTGCCTAGCTGATTGTTATGCTTTAAACCACTGAAACCGTATTTTGAGCTTTTCTTTATCTGGCTTATGTAAGGTATGCAACAGGCACCTTAAGCTAAATTATCTGAATTTTTAATGATCATGTTAATTTATAAGGTTTACATTTTAAATTTTGAAATAAGAAATACAATACATTAATACATGTAGAAAAATATATATGTGTGTACAGTTTGATAAATAACCGAAGAAACTTAGAAAAATAATTTACTTTTTTAAATATTTATTTATTTATGTATTTATTTCAAAGGCAGAGTTACACAGAGAGAAGTAGAGACAGAGACAGAGACAGAGACAGAGAGAGAGAAAGAGAGAAAATCTTCTATCCACTGGTTCACTCCCTGAATGGTCAGGGCCATGCGAAAACCAAGAGCAAGGAGCTTCATCTGGGTCTCTCACATGGATGGCAGGTGCCCAAACACTTGGGCCATCTTACACTGCTTTCCTAGAACGTAAGCAGGGAGTTGGGTCAGAAGTAGAGCAGCCAGGACTTGGAACCAGCAACCGTATGGATGCTGGTGCTATAGGCAGTGGCTTAACCTTCTGTGCCACAGTGCGGGCCCTCTTTTTAAACATTTTTTTTTTTAAAGATTTATTTGTTTATTTGAAAGGCACAATTAGAGAGACAGAGTGAGAGAGAGAAGAGAGTCTTCATCCGCTTGTTCACTGCCCAAATGGCCACAACGGCTTTAGCTGGGCTGATCTGAAGCCAGGAACCAGGAGCTTCCTCTGGGTCTCCCACGTAAGTGCAGGGGCCCAAGGACTTGGGCCATCTTCTACTGCTTTTCCAGGCCATAGCAGAGAGCTGGATCGGAAGAGGAGCAGCCAGGACTAGAACCGGCGCCCATATGGGAAGCCAGCGCTTCAGGCCAGGGCATTAACCTGCTGCGCCACAGTGCCAGCCCCTGTCAGCTCAGACTTAAATTTTTTGTCTATTAGTAGAGATGACATCATACTGTGTTTTTTTTTTTAATATTTTTATTTTTTGACTGGCACAGTTTTTTTTAAGAATTATTTATTTGAAAGATAAAATGATAGAGAACAGGGTGGTGGTGGGGAGAGTTCTTCATAGCAAGTAGAATTGCCATTCTCCACCCCAGCATCCAATATGGGCACCAGTTCATGTCCTGGCTACTCCACTTTTTTTGTTTTGTTTTGTTTTGTTTTTGGAAAGAGTTACAGAGCAAGGTTGACCCAGAGAGAGAGAGAAAGAGAGAGAGAGGTCCTCTGCCTGCTGGTTCAATCCACAAATGACCACAACTATCAGAGCTGAGCTGAGTTGAAGCCAGGACTCAGAAGCCTCTTCTGGGTCTTCCACGTGGGTGCAGGGGCCCTAGGACCTGAGCTATCTTCTGCTGCTTTCCCAGGCCATAGCAGAGAGCTGGATTGGAAGTGGAGCAGCTGGATCTTGAACCGGCGCCCATATGGGATGCCAGTGTCGCAGGCCACAGCTTTAACCTGCTGCGCCACAGTGCTAGCCCCTACTCCACCTCTGATCCAGCTCCCTGCTAATGGCCTGGGAAAAGCAGCAGAGAGTGGCCCAAGTGTTTGGGCTCCTGCCAATCATGTGAGAAACCTGCATGAAGCTCCTGGCTCCTGGCTTTGGCAGCCCTGGCCATTGTGGCATCTGGGGAGTAGGTCAGCAGATGGAAGATCTCTCTCTCTCTCTTTCTCCCTGTCTCCCTGTAACTCTTTCAAATAAATAAATAAATATTTTTTAAAAAAGTTGTTTGTATTACTGGTCTGTAGATGTGCTAGGGATCCCTATGACCATCCCCAAGCTCAGTAATTTGTTGAAAGAACTCACAGTACTTGGCATCTAATTGTACCCACAGCTAAGGTGTATCACATTGAAAGGATACAAAACAAAATCATTGTGCTATTACAAGAGACCAATTGAAAGCTTCTAGTTCTCTTCCAGTGAGTAACATAGTACTTGCTTCATTCCTCCTACAGTGATTTGTGACACATATGAAGTGTTAGAAGAGCTTATTAGAGACACAGTGCTCAAAACTTTTGTTGACTCTGATTACATAGGCTCCCTCTTCCTAACACATACCAAATTTCTAGACTCTCAGAAGGAAATCATGTAGTCAGCATAAACCATATTGTTTGTACAAATAATTAGCCATGGTGTACCACTCTTCCATTTTGAGAAAATTTTAGATCAGTGTAGGGAACTTTACCAGCCATATTCCCAGATTCCAGCCAAGGTCAGTTACACAAATAGGCCTTTCTAAGACAGGGTGTCTGGCCTACTATATTAACTGTTTCCTGCAGAGTAGGAATTTTGTATATTGTCTGGATTCTATATGCTCATAATTTTATGTGTACTGCAAATATCTTCTGCTCTGCTGCCTTATCTTTCAATTTCTTTATTCTTTAGTGAACAAATTTTTAAATTTTAATGTAATAAAAATTTGTTATTTTTCTCCTTTATGGTTAGTATTTTTTGTGTTTTATTTAAGAAATCCGGGCCGGCGCCGCGGCTCACTAGGCTAATCCTCCGCCTAGCGGCACCGGCACACCGGGTTCTAGTCCGGTCGGGGCGCCGGATTCTGTCCCGGTTGCCCCTCTTCCAGGCCAGCCCTCTGCTGTGGCCAGGGAGTGCAGTGGAGGATGGCCCAGGTGCTTGGGCCCTGCACCCCATGGGAGACCAGGATAAGCACCTGGCTCCTGGCTCCTGGCTCCTGCCATCGGATCAGCGCGGTGCGCCGGCCGCAGCGCGCCGGCCGCGGCGGCCATTGGAGGGTGAACCAACGGCAAAGGAAGACCTTTCTCTCTGTCTCTCTCTCTCACTGTCCACTCTGCCTGTCAAAAAAAAAAAAAATAAATAAAAAGAAATCCTTCCTCATTCCTAAGTCATGAGATTATAAGCCTTTATTTTATAAAATTTTATAGTGTTGCCATTCATGTTTGTTTATACCTGAAATTTAGTTTTCGTGGTTAGTATGAAGTAGGAATTAGTTTCCTTTTCCTCCATTATATATAATCAGTTATCCTGGTGTGAAAGATTGTTGTTTCCTCTGCATTGCTAGCTCTCATATCAGTTAATCATCTTAAGAATGGTTTGGTTCATAGAATTTCTTTTCTGTTCCTTTACTCTCTCAGTCTATGCCTACCTTAATGAGGACAACTCATTAAGTCTTGGCATAGGCTGTTTCTTTCTCAGTATTATTTTCTAGTAGTGATTGGCTATTCTAGGCTCTTTATACTGCCATATAAATTTTGTAATCAGCTCATTAAATCTGTTAAAAATGTTATTTCTCTGTTAGAAATGTTTGGATCGGTATTACATTAAATCTCTAAGTCAGCTTGGGGAATAATTCTCATCTTTATTTATATTGACTTTGATTCATGAACATAATATATCTTCATTTTTTTAGATATTCCTTAATTTAATATCTTATCTAAATAAAATTTGCAAATTGTGTTCACTGAGGCCTTGTACAATCTTTGGCTAGATTTTTTTCTTAGGTATAGTGTATTTTAAATAGTTCTGGAGCCGTGCTTTTTGCTGCTTTTTTGACAGGAAGAGCGGACAGTGAGAGAGAGAAAGACAGAGAGAAAGGTCTTCCTTTTGCCGTTGGTTCACCCTCCAATGGCTGCTGCGGCCGGCGCTGCAGCCGGCACACTGCGCTGATCCGAAGCCAGGAGCCAGGTGCTTTTCCTGGTCTCCCATGGGGTGCAGGGCCCAAGGACTTGGGCCATCCTCCACTGCACTCCTGGGCCATAGCAGAGAGCTGGGCTGGAAGAGGGGCAACCGGGACAGAATCCGGCGCCACGGCTGGGACTAGAACCCAGTGTGCCGGCGCCGCAAGGCGGAGGATTAGCCTATTGAGCTACGGCGCCGGCCCTTAAATAGTATTTTAAAAAAACTTTTCTGTTTGTTGTGATGTAAGGTTTATACTAAATCATAAATTGTACTAGAACCAGCCAACAAAACTAATACATGAAAAATACAGACATGTTAAAATGCAAATTGTGTCTTCAAAAATTACTGAATTGTTTGGTAGAAGTAGATAATAGATATATTATTTTATAAGTGGACTTTAATAAATGATGTGCTATAGATTCAAAATAATGCTTGCTAGGCAAATGAATTTTAATGACTATTAAAAATTAGATATAACCATTAAATTTCTGACAACCAAAAATTTGTTTGAATATTATATTATGATTCTAGTCTATTAGCATTACTAAACCTGATGTGTCTCTTTTATTTAACTCAGGTGAAAAAGATTCGATGATTTTTGACTGCACTGAATGCTATGATCCTGTTACTAAACAGTGGACAACTGTAGCTTCAATGAATCATCCTCGCTGTGGCTTAGGAGTGTGTGTGTGTTATGGGGCTATCTTTGCATTGGGTAATTATACTGTTTAATTTAAGGGTAGCTGATATTATTTAAATTATTACATTCTAATTACTTTGGAGGTTCCCTTCCCTTCCATAAGCGGCTCAATAGGCTAATCCTCCGCCTTGCGGCGCCAGCACACCAAGTTCTAGTCCCAGTCGGGGCACCAGATTCTGTCCCGGTTGCCTCTCTTCCAGGCCAGCTCTCTGCTGTGGCCTGGGAGTGCAGTGGAGGATGGCCCAGGTCCTTGGACCCTGCACCCACATGGGAGACCAGGAGAAGCACCTGGCTCCTGGCTTCGGATCAGCGCGGTGCACCGGCCGCAGCGGCCATTGGGGGGTGAACCAAGGGCAAAGGAAGACCTTTCTCTCTGTTTCTCTCTCTCTCACTGTCCACTCTGCCTGTAAAAAAAAAAAATGTATGTTTTTTCAATTCCATAAATTCTTTTTTTTAAAGATTTTATTTATTTATTTGAGAGGTAGAGTTACAGTCAGTGAGAAAGAGAAACAGAGTAAAAGGTCTTCACTCCCCAAATGGCCACAATGGCAAGAGCTGTGCTGATCTGAATCCAGGAGACAGGTGCTTGTTTCTGGTCTCCCATGCGGGTGCAGAGGCCCAAGGACTTGGGCCATCTTCCACTGCTATCCCAGGCCACAGCAGAGAGCTGGTCTGGAAGAGGAGCAACCAGGACTAGAACCGGTGTCCATATGGGATGCTGGCGCCACAGGCGGAGGATTAACCTAGTGTGCTGCAGCGCTGGGCCCCCAATTCTGTAAATTCTTATTATAAAAGTTGCATTACTTGGGAGATATTGTCAAAGATGGAGTATTTAAAAGGAGATGAAGGAGTCAGCATTGTAGCATAGTGGGTTAAGCTGCCATCTGTGATGATGGCATCCCCTATAGGCATAGGTTGAAGTCCCGGCTGCTCTACTTCCAATCCAGCTTCTGGCTAGTGCACTTGGAAACGCAGCAGAAAATATCCTGAGTGCTTGGGGCCTTGCCACCCACATGGAAGACCCTGGCCCAGCCCCAGCTGTTGTGGCCATATGGGGAGTGAACCAGCCAATGGAAGATACCTCTGTTTCTATCTCTATCCATCCCTGTCCCTCTGTAACTCTGCCTTTCAAATAAATAATAAATAAAAATTTTTATTTTAAAAATTGAAGAAGATGGTAATACACCATGGATGAGATGTCCAGTGAAGCACATTAGCTGACTCACTTCCTAAGAAAAATCACATTTCTACCACTCTCTATAGTGGCCTAATTATGTTTAATATAAGAAAACACCTATTAAACAATTAAAAACACTAAAAGCGAGTTCTATACTCTTATTTTTATTATTACAGACTTAATGAATGATTTTGAGCAAATTATCCTACTTCTTTAATTTTCTGTATAACAAATGTTACCATCAAAGAATTTTTCTGAGGAAAATACAAGTTGACATAGTCCTCAGTCTGTTCTATTTTCTTCTTCTCACTCTCTTCAATTCACTGCATGGAATAAGATATCCTCCCCCTGCCATTAGAACCTATTGTGAAGAAGATAGCTGTTACCCCAATGAATATTTAATCCACTGTATTTTATAATTCTCATAAGTATTTGCATTTTGCAGCTATACCTTAAATTGTGAGAAAGAACATTTTAAGTTTCAAGAATTGGAGAATAATAAGGAAATGCTGTTTTTGGAATGAAGAGCCTAAAGTCACTCTAAATAGGCAGTATACTCTGATTAAGCCTCTTGCCCCCACCGTGCTCCTCTCAGAACGAATTACCACAACAAACCATTATGAACATGCAGAAGTTGTTTCAAAAGGGAGTTTTGCAGAATACCAGATTCCCCATACAATATGCAGAAGTTTTGTTCTGTTTTAATCTCTAGTGAAAACTAGACAGAATTAAAACACTTGAGGTCTATTCATGGTCAAATTCCAATTTTTCATGTGACTATAGACAAAGAACCTCATTGATTCATGTGATTCTCATCCATAATATGAAGTATTCATATAGAGTGTATTTTAAGATCTTTGTCAAATATAGTTTCTTTATCCCCAAATAAATGCTTTCCTATTTGGTTACAGGTGGTTGGGTTGGAGCTGAAATAGGGAACACCATTGAGCGATTTGATCCTGATGAAAATAAGTGGGAAGTAGTTGGCAACATGGCTGTGTCACGTTACTACTTTGGGTGTTGTGAAATGCAAGGTAATTATTTTATAAAATATTTTTCCTCAAAATATATTTTTAAAAAACCTGAGTTTGAGGCTTTACTTTTACAAAACTATACATTTGACCTGAGCATTACAAAAGTTTTAATTTTTCTTATATTATTGACTTTATTTATGTATTAACAAAATAATTGATTTTTCTCCAAATAAATAAAATTAGAATTAAAAATTCCATACAGTCAGAAATATCTGGGGGCTGGTACCATGGCGCAGTAGGTTAATCCTCCTCCTGCGGTGCCAGCATCCAATATGGGCGCCAGTTCTGGTCCCAGCTGCTCCTCTTCAGATCCAGCTCTCTGCTGTGGCCTAGGAAAGCAGTAGGAGATGTCCCAAGTGCTTGGGCCCCTGCACCCGTGTGGGAGACCTGGAGGATGCTCCTGGCTCCAGGCTTCGGATAAAAAAAAACACAGCTCAGGCCGTTGCGGCCATTTGGGGAGTGAGCCAGTGGAGAGAAGACTTTTCTCTCTGTCTCTCCCTCGCACTGTCTGTAATTCTACCTGTCAAATAAATAAATAAAATCTTTTTTTAAAAAAGAAATATCTGGCTAGGAAAATAAACATATGAAATATCACCGATTATTGTAATTTTGTCTTCCATAAGCACCTGAGTTGGTGTTTCTAAGTAGGGAGAGGGTATCAAAACCCATTTTCACAGTCTCTATTTATAGGCTTTTTTAGTGTTTTGTCTTTAACTTTTTTTTAATATTTATTTTATTTATTTGAAAGACAGAGTTACACAGAGAGAGAGTTGTCCATCCACTGATTCACTCTTCAAATGACTGCAATGGCCAGGAGCCAGGAGCTTCATCCGAGTATCCCATGTGGGTTCAGGGGCCTAAGCACTTGGGCCATCCTCCCCGGTTTTCCCAGGCACATTAGCAGGGAGCTGGATTGGAAATGGAGCAGCCAGAACTTAAACTGGTGCCCATATGGGATGCTGGCGTTGCAAGTAGAAACTTAACCCACTACGACGCCACCACATTGGCCCCTGGCAGTTTTTTTTTTTTTTTTAAAACACATAGTATATGACAGTTCACACCACACAGAATACAATCCTATGACAGATTTGAAAAATGCTGCACTGCATTTTAACATGGTGTGTGGACATTATTTTAATTGTCTACTACACTCTGAGGGATGGGTAATGGAATTGTCACATGGAATGTAATTCTGTGTTCAGGTTGAGAGAGTTTTTTATGTACCATAGAATAGGAATTAGTCTGCCTTTTGTTATATAACAGCTCAGCTTTGTTTCCAGCTCAAGTTCCTTCTAATTTGTAGGTAATGTACCTTCTCCTGTTTCTACTAGCATTGAATTACATGATGCAGATTATATTTTATTGTTTAATGTCATAGTACTCTTTAGTTTTATGTTTAATAATTTTATTTATTTTCATTTCTAAAGTCAGAGTTAGAGAGGGATCTTGGAAATTATTTCAACCCTGTTAATTTACAGATAAGGAAGCTGAAGATCAGGAAGGATTGAGTTATATTTTCTCATAGCTGTTTATTGGCAAAGCTGACACTAGAAACCAAGTTTAGTAATACTTAGTCCACTCTTCTTAAAATAACATTCTTTATAACTTGTAACTCCTCATTTTAGAACATGAAAATCACTAGAGACTCAAAAAATAATTGTTGTCAGAACCATTAGTTTCCAATCAAATTTAATGAGGAACTCTAAGTTCATTCTTTGTACTCTAGTAATTGATACTGATGATACCTTGACCTGGCCTTATAACTGATCCAATTTAAATTTTCTATTTTATGTGTGAACAACAAGTAGATTGTTACCAAAGATGGCAATATCATTCCCAGCTTAAATTCACAACATATTTTAGGGCAAAAAAAGATTCCATGTCTTTTTTTTTTTTTTTTAAACTATGAGTGGTAGTGGTAGATCTGGAACCTGAAACTGTCAGGCAGACAGAAAGAAAATTCTAGTCTAACAAATTATTTTGTTATAGTATCATTAAGTTCTTTGACAGTCCAATGCCACTTAGAGTTAATGCCCCTAATTTTTTCTCACACACTTAAGTGTGAAATGTGATCATCTGGACAGAAGTTGACTTTTCTCTTAAAATAATACAAGCTCTAGAATATTGTAAGCATAGAATATTGTAACATAGATCAGAACTATTACATGTAATTGTTATTAATCTTATTTTCCATTGCATCTGAGCAAAAATATTCCATTTCCAGGTTTAATTTATGTAATTGGGGGCATCAGCAATGAAGGAATAGAGCTTCGTTCTTTTGAAGTTTATGACCCACTTTCTAAGCGTTGGTCTCCACTTCCTCCA